ACCAGGACTAAGATCTGCACGCTGCTACCGCATTCCCTTCTGCTGAGGTAGGAAGCCAAACCAGCGTGGCGCGACCTGGGAGGACCCACAGAGCCGGCATTGTACAATCCGCTGAGTCGGTCTGTTTGGGACTTGCGGGACGACGCCGGGCTTATACGGCTTCCGGAAGACAGCTTGCCGAAACACCAAAAGCCAATAGTCAATAGTCTTTCTCAAATCTTGTTTGGAACATGGCTGATTGACATTGAACCCATTCAAAAGTAAGCGCTATACAAACTCTTGAAGCCCTGGCCGCCAGGACCTAGCTCTTGAGCAGATCGTGGGCTTCACGCTCCCGGTACTCGCTGACGTGCGCCTGCGCTTTCTGCTCCGGGAGAGGGTCTATGTACCTGTCTACCTATCTACGATTCTACCTATCTACCTGTCTACCTATCAATCAATCGATCTACCTAACCTTTTTATCTAATCATCTATCTAATTAACTACCTGTATATATATATATATATATATAGATCGATGAGTGGCCTGTTTGGGGTTCCCAGCTGTCAGGTTACTTGGCAACCCGGACCCTTGGCACCAGAACACAAAGCTGGCTTGGTGCTTGGCTGGGAGGTCTAAGGTTCTACGACGCAGCAATCGGGGGTTTAGGATTTCGAGGCTTGGCTGAGGGTTTTGGGTGTTGATTTCGTTTTTCGGAGAGGTGTGGGCTTTGAAGCACGTGCGGGGACGATTGTACCCAGCCTGGCCTAAATCTTGATGACCAGAAAAGTCGTTGAAGTTGAAGTTGAGAGCTACAGGCACTAAGTGAGATGTTTTTGGGATTTTAGGGAGGATCGAGAGACGAAATAGCCACAGCCAGACAGGAGCACGTGCGCTCGCGGAGTTCGGGTTGCCGGACAGGAGATACAGAAAGGTTCGGTGAAGGCTAAAGGCGTGGTGCATGGTGACGATGGCAAAGATGAGTTTTGATGATGGTGGTAGATCACGCTGGGAAGATGCCACAGCATTATCGACCAGGAAGAAGTTTGCTACACTCAGTGACAGCGAAATGCCGGGGCAATGATGCGCATGATGCCAGGGCTTTGCTCGGGCTGTTGGCAGTGCAACCAAAGGCTGAAAGGTGTCCCAATGAAGTGCTGGGCCATGATGCTCTTGATGCTCCGGCTCCGGAAAGCAAGCATGGTAACTGTGGCTGATTCTCGTGGGTTTTGCTTCGAACATAGAGCCTTCAAGTCACTGGGAGCCGGTTCAGCTTTGCGGCTTTGAGTATATCTCTTCATGTCAGTTCCGACTCCAAACGCAAGTTGCAAAGTTGCTCAAGCCTGGACCTCAAGTCCCAGCACCTGCAACTCAAACTGTCCGAAGCTTGGGTTGGATTTTTTTTTGAGAAACGGAGCAAGGAATTGATGGCTTTTGCAGTGGCCCCTCACCGTGGAATCCTGCCCGCTTCCACAATAGAGCACGCCATGCTTCTGAGAAGGAGCCTGACCGGCATTCACAAACAAAATCATCCTTGTGAATGCATCCCAGGCCTGCCAAGAAAGCCTGGCTACGTGCAGGCGTGCTTTCTGGTTTGGGGCTCGCTGCTTGCCAATACTACTGAATCGAGACCAGCAGCAACATGCACCGAGACACCGACGATACTTTTTACAGTATGTGATCCCAGAAGCTGCTTCAAGTGCATGTTTTCTTCCACCTTCACGCTCTTGGCAGAAGCTAAGTTTTGGAGAAGCCGAATCAGGCATCATGCCGATCCAGTAAATGCACCCTTCGTAGCCATAGCCGTGCTGGCTAGACACATCAGACACGAGTAAAGACAACCTTTATCAGCAGCAACACCGTCTCACTCAGATCAGTGCAGTTGCAATACCAGTAGGCATAGCTAAGATCAATGATCAAGACTAGTAACAGCAAGACTTACATCTGGATGGTTGCTACCCGACTGCCGTACTCAGAAGACTCCTCTACAGCACTCACAATCTTCGTAATATACTGCAACGTTCCTGACAGATTCAGCTGCAGTCGGGGCTGCAGATGGTACCATGAATCATACAGTTTGCAACACTGTTTGCCTTGTTTCCGGCCCTTGAATGCACGCGGAACTGCCAGGACAGCGACAAGAAAGGCGAGATCTTCACTCCCGTGCCAGACCTGTACGCCGGGGGCCTTTCTTGGGAGCGGGAAGGTACCCGCAGTATCCCCAAGCAGTGTGCCAGCCAAACTTGCGAGTCATTTTGGGAACACGCCTTGAAATCTCCGCCGCATCGAGACAGTTGTGCTTGAGTAGAAGGAATAGCACTTCTGAAGCCGGACCGCTTTAAGCCTGAACTTCAAGCAGCCACGGCCGCAAAGTGCCGCTGCCTCGGGTACGGGATGCCAAGGAACGGTCCTCTTCCCCGGTGAAGCGCATGCTCGCAGAAAAGGAAGGTGCTCCCAAGCTTTTGCTGTTCTGCAACGGTGTTCAGTTCAGGACCTCAAACTAAAACATCCGAGCCCAAAGCCCTTAATCCCCAAGAAAGCTCTGAAGCTTGAATCTTAGGCCTTGTGCTGCAACCAAAAAAAGTAGCTACACCTCAAAGCCCACGCCTGATCTCGGCGACGGGCGCCCTGAGCGAAGCTGGTAGCATGCAAGGGCTCAAGGTCTGTGGGGCTTGTAGGGTTCAGGATTCATCGGGCTCTGTCAATTTGTCTGGTTTAAGGGGCTGATGGCTAACTAAAGAGTTTTTACTTCATGTGTTAGTTGTGGGCCTACCGGGCCGATCTCTGCCTAACTGCGAAGAGCCCCTTTATTTTCAGCGGAGCTATTGAAGCCCCACAGGAAAAGCAAAAATGACGCCCTGACGCCCCCAAGCTTTCACCTTGTAAGAGGGCTCAAGAAACCCAAATGCCACGGCTTGAACAAAGAGAGAGCTTTTCGGAGGACTACCTAAGCACCCTGGCAATCCGGTATTGTGAATCTGTAAGACCCCGACTTCAGGGTGTAAGGTTTATGGTTCTGGTGGTTCGGGAGTTTAGGGTTGAGGTCTCGGGGGTCTCAAACGGCAAACCCTTCAACCGCATAGCCCCACAACCTTGAACATGTTTGGGTAGTTCTCTAAATTAGAGTTCCGTTTCGAGTCCGAAAGTCCTAAAGACAGTACGGCATCCGGGACCCTAATTTTCAGAACTGTACCCATTCATCAAAGCAGCATTTGAAGAGGCAGCTCTGCCTTAGCTCTTCCTGCAACGGCGGAGACCGCCGTGCCCGGGCCCTTGGCAATGAGCCTGTAACTATTTGATTACCATGTTTATTCTTATTGGTTGTTAGTTTATTTCTCTTGAAATTGTTGAATCTGGTATTGCCATTAGTGTTTTTGCGAATATTCGTATTACTGTCTTGTTGTTGGTTTCACTGGTTAGCCAACCTGAGCCCGGGCCAAGACTACGCCCTAAACCGTAAACCCTGCAGGAACCAACCTGTGCTAAACCTTTCGGAGCTTCATTGAGCTTTGGGGCTCTGTGCTGAGGATTCTACTGCTTAGAGTCCATCTCGCAGCACCTTACCGTTTGCAACTCCCAGTATTGCGCATGCTAGAATATCTGCGTTTCACATGAGCCTGGAACATGACCCTGGCAGTTCGCAACCAAATGCCTTTATGGCTGCAGGTGTTTTCGAATTCGCAGTACTTTGTCAGATGCAGGAGCTTTCACTTTCACCCGAGGCCGGAAGTTCCATGCAACCACGAACCCGAATGACAACTCAAGCCTGATCGGCTGCATCTACATCGAGACCCGCATAGTCCTAAATGCCAAATTTTCGACCCTAGCCCGACTGTAACCCCTGCTTAGCAGAGGCAGAAGGTCCAGCCCCCCGCTGGGAGCTCTCCTGACACCCTTCGCTGGGCACTGCTGGAGACATGCCAGGGTTACTGGCCCCCAGGGCCCAAGGGGTTGGGGTGCAAAATCTCAGGTCTACAAGGGTCAGAGTTGGCTAAAACATCGCAGTAGCAGTGTTCATCCCTGAGCATCACACACGCAGATTGCAATCATTTGCATATTGTGGTTGGGTACTTCGGTCACAGTCAGAAACAGAGGCAGATGCATGGGTTCTGGACATACCTAAATGCTGACGCCGCTTGTAAGGCTGAAAGGGGTGATGGTGATGTCGATGGAGACGGCGATAACAGTAGCCGTGATGACGAGTGATTTTGATGAGAGCGCTGATGATGATTATGAGTGGGGATCAAGGTTGTAGTTGTAGCGACAGTGATTGTGCTGCTGCTGCTGCTGCTGCTGCTGCTGCTGCTGCTGCTGCTGCTGCTACTGCTGCACATTATGATGATAATGATGCTGCCGTTGATGATGATGATGATGATGATGATGATGATGATGAACATGAGGATGATGATGACGACGGTGGTGATGACGATGGTGATGATGACGATGGTCATGATGACGATGGTCATGATGACGACGACAATGATGATAAATACGAAGATGATTATGGCAAGGCTTACAAGGGTGCTGATGACACTACTATTGAGGGCGACTATTGACGTGAATATGGCCATGCTAGTGAGGTTGGCGAAGAGGACGAAGAAGTCTTGCTGGTGGCAGTCCTGATGATGATGACGAAGACGGCGACTGGGATGATGATGGTGATGATAACGATTTCGATCAAGATTGGGCTCCCCTCCTCCTCCTCCTCCTCCTCCTCCTCCTCCTCCTCCTCCTCCTCCTCCTTTTCATCATTGCCATCATGACCATCATCATCACCGGTTTCATCTTCATCTCCATGGTTGTCTTTGTCATCGCCTTTGTGGTCCTTGGCATGAGCAAGCCGTGGTCATGGTGTTGTTGTTGATGATGCCGCGGTGGATGATGAGCGAGGCGATGCTCATGGTTCTTGTTGACCCTTTCTGCATCGCACTCGCTTGTGGGATGTATTTCGCAGACGACATCCCGTGAACACCAGTGAGCACTATCGCACAATCACGGTCATCACGTTCCTCCTACCAAGCATGCTTTCGACCGAGCTGGGCCTCCAGGTTTCTCTGTGCATTCTGGGTGATGATGATGACGATTGTTGTCATTGCTGCTCTTGCTAAAGATTCATACAAGTCCCCCTGAAACCCCCGACCCAAAAACCATACTTAAACTCTAACCCTCAGGCCCTGAACCCAGAACCCAAATTCCCAAACTCCCAAAGCGAGCAAGGAGCTGCCTTGCGCAAGCGCTCCGCCTCCAGAGGCAACCCACCCAGAGCGAGTAGTTTTGGGTTTCAGGGTTTATGGTTCAGGGGTTTAGGGTTTAGGGTTTAGGGGTTTGGGGTTTCAGGGTTTATATATGGTTCAGGGGTTTTAGGCTTCAGGGTTCAGGGTTTGGGGCCAGGGCTTTGACTTTTAGGGGTTCAGGCTTTAATAGGGGTTTAGAGGTTTAGGGGTCTTAGGTTCAGGGTTTATAGGGTTTAGGGCCTTATGATGTTTTTTAGCTTCAGGGTTTGTGGGTCCGGGGTGTCGAGGCTTCAAACTACAAATGCTATTCACGACAGGTTCCTGAGCATTATGCCCCGAAGCTCTACTCTTGTTTCTAAGGCCCCTCTGTTGGAGGACGTGGAGTGCGGAGTTCCTCTTGGGTGTTCGGTGTGGTTTTGGGAGGTGGTTCCTAGAGGACAATGCAGTTTTTGTGCTTGCTCCGAGCATCACTTACAGTGTAAATACACCCTGATATCCAAAACGAGCATTCCGGTATTCAGCCTTCGTTTGCTCCACCCTTAAACCCCAGAACTTCCAAAGCCTCCATCATCATGAAGCCACTCTGGCCCTAACCCAAAATCTCAAAAATCCGAAGCCATGAGATCCGAGCCCCCCGAATTCGAATCTCCTCAGTCGGTGATTCCCCCAGCAAGGCCCTGGCTGCCCTGCTAGCCGTGGGTTGCGAGGACGCGCGCGCGCGCGAGCAACGGAGAGGGGGTGGGGGTGGGGGGGTTCCTCTTGTCGTTTTGTTGTCTAGTCTCTTGCGGACTTCTTTCCTGAGACTGTTGAATCGGAGAAGAACATCAGCTTCCAACTGACTCCGGGGAACCGAGTCATTGCTACTGTTATCCGCACTCCCTCTGCGAAGAGGTTATTAACACGACAGTGCGAGCGCAAACCAGAGCGGCAGGCGAGGATCTTGGCTTTTAGGCTCTGGTCGATTGTGCTGTAAGGCGTTCCGTGGCCTAGCTTGACCTTCATGCAGGATCTGCTTGTCTTCTCGCGAGACAAGTTCTCGGTTCACAGGAAGTTCTTGCCCAGGCGCCTCGAGGGAACGGGCCGAAATTAGATCCCGAAATACTGGGGGTTTGGGAGTGTCGCGGGCTTCCACTTCAGCCTCACCTGACCGGACTTAGCCGTCCCTCCCGGCAACTGTCTCATGCACTGTTCCGACTTCGCTGTAACACCAGAATCACCAGAAGTCCCCCCATTGAAGTCATCTGCGAAGCTGGCCAAGAAAACATGTGGTTGTCCCGGCGGTCAGTTGCAACAGCGCCTGCAGCCGAAAGACGATCCAGTTGTGCATCCTTACATATTCCCAGATCCCCAGGAATCATGCTGTCGCCCATGCACCTTCGCCATGCACCCTAATTGTCCTTATTGTGAAACTTGCTCTCAATACCCTGCATCATACCCACGCGCCCACCCCTTCTGCCAGGCTCGCTGCAGGTGCTGCGATCAGCGGGGATGGCAGTTCCACAAAGTTGGATGGGCGTGGCCCTTGACCTGATTTGTTCGGGATGAAATCCCAACAAACCAGACGATGTTTTGGGTTGTATTACTGGGGTCTCCAAAGTGCTCCGCTCATGATGAAACCGGTTGGCTTGAGCACTGGGATGTGTTTCGCTTTAAGGTAGCGTCAGGTTAGGCAAGGAATGCATGGCAAGGCATTCGAGCGTCGGAGGCATGGGAAAGTCGACCGTAGAAGCTTAGCTGGTCGTAGCCTTTGGACAGTCGGATTTTCGCCGCCAGAATTTATCTTGAAGCTCTCCAAGCTTAAGGACTTCAAAGCTGAAGCCTATTGTGAATGCAGTGGGTTGGAATTATGGGAGCTCCAGAGTAAGAGCCCACAGAGAGCCCTGAAGTTTTAGGATCCTTGCGCAATCTAAATGAACAAGGTACTCCTACAGTCAATGAAGAAGCCTCTCTTCAGAAGTAAGATTCATGGGCCGCTCAGGTACGACGTGTTGGTCGTCCCACTGGCAGGCAGCCTGACAGAGCACAAAGCGTCAGTGGCGCGGTGTCAAGGGCTTTTGGGCTAGTTTAGGCTGGTCGGATCCTCTTCTCTGACATCAAAAGGCTCAAGCCTCACCCCTACACCTACTACCCGGTTTCTTGAAGGAATATTGCCTTCTGCAATTTGTGTTGAAATTCCACCAGATCCCATGAACACTGATTGGCCCGTGTGCTTAACGGTTTCGTTTGAGTGGGGTCGCTGCATTTCTGGCGGAAGGGGGTCTGAAGCCCTCAACTTTGTTCAGATACAGGATTTGTAGCGACGGTTCCCCCCAAGACTTGGTGGCAGGTTGGCTCCAGACCAAGACAGAGCAACTCTGCGTAGATCTCCTCACTGCTCTCCAGGCAGTGCTGCTTGCCGTGTGGTTTCAGTTGAGACAATGAACGGAGAAAACCTAGCCCGACAGATCCCGAAGCTGGCCTTGAACTCTAAGTTTATCCCACACCCTTTTCAGAAGGATGGGTTTAGGCTTTGGGTTCTGAGGGTTGGTGCGTTCTTGGTATACTCATAGGCTCTTAGGGTTCAGGCTTTCGAGGTCTGTTTGGGATTCGTTTCGGGGCTAGAGGGCTATCAGGCATTTCTGGATTCAGAGAGTTGGTTTCGAATTTCATTGCACCCTGTAGATCCCTAAACCCTGAACCCCTGGATGATGGAGGGGAGCTTTCAGAAATCTGCCATCTTTCAGTGGCGGTAACACAAACCAACGGGGCTGTTGGAGCGCAGCTATAGCTATAGTTATTATAGTTATGATCGGGAACCATATTATATCATAGTTGTGATAAGGAATCCGGGTATAATATATTATATCATAGTTAGGATTCTAGTTATGATAACAAGGAACCCAAGATTAAGCAGCAGCTCTATGGGCCGCAGCACAGCGAGGTGGCTGTGACTCTCAAGAAATCTGAGCACTGCATTCAGACAGCTGTGAGATGACCCAGAAGGATTTTTTGCAAAAAATCCAAAAAAAGCAAAATCAAACATGTGAGATGACCAGAAGGCAGAGGACCTAAGGAAGTACTAGACAGAAGCAGAGGAGCCATGGCAGTGACACTGAGAGCTCGAAGTCGTGGTATCCAGGAGCCCAAATCCCGAGAGAGCCGGGGTGTTCTTGCCTTCTTCTTTTTGCAAGCCTGTTTACGGGGACCTCGTCGGTGTTGAAATCGGTATATATACCGCTCTTTCGAGCTAGCTCAACAATTCGACATCATGCGACGTTGCCGCACCTTTCGTCAGCACCGACACAACGATTTCGGTCAGAAGACGAATTCCCGCCTCGTTCACTTTTAACGTCTTTAGGTTTCGGAGTCGGGATGTACTGCTGTAGAAGCTTATTCAGTGATAAACACGCATCCTGGACGGTTGCGTTGCCGCGTTCCTTCTCCGCAGGCCATCATCCAGCAGATGCCGAGAAGTGGTGCCCGGCCTCAGCCAAGCAGGTCGGGAGGTGATGATCACTGTGAGATCTTTCGATCAGGACACCTTAGGACGCAGTCATAGAATGCAGTGAGGCGACTCTGTTGGAGCTTTGAAGCCTCGAATGTCCTGAGACCATGTTCGGCTGCAGAGCAGAGGTGGTTCCATGTGTGAGTGGGAACGGGACAGGAACAAAGTGGTAACAACAGCGAACAGCTCCAAACCCAAGCTCTATTCTATACCCGTCCGACCCCATAATTACACTAATCACTCCTTCAGTCTTAAGCCGCCTTACCCATGAAGACAGCACCGTACATCCGAAGATGCTAAGTCAACTGAACCTGAGGATCGATCCGGATCCTGCTCCTGACCTCATTGGCCATGGGTCCGGGGAGCTCCACCTATCGCCGGGGCCCCGGTTTGGATTTTTGGATTTAGGGGTGGCGGGGTTTGAGGATTTTTGTGGGTTGAGTGGAGTTTCGGGATTCGCCCCATACCCCTGAATCCGGTCCTTATTCATCAGATTATTATGTGAGTCTGACTGTTGCCGTCAAGAGAGCAAGGGTCTCTGGGAAGCCATCGGCAGGCTGTGGGGTTGAAGGGCATTATTCAAGCTGTTAAAATTTATGGTTCCAAATCGGACAGGGAGCTCCCAATACGGTCTACCTTGCAAGCCCTAAATTCCCTAAATCTCCATCCCGCATAGTTCGTTCCAGCCCTCCGACAGCTTGTGGAACAAGCATCATCGACGATGATCATCCACGATCCTCAAGCCCAACAAAAGTCTTCCGTAAATCTACAGGCCTTATGGAATTTAGGGTTTAGGGTTCAGTGCCAAAAAAGTCTTCCGTCAATTTGGGATCGCTTCTTCAGGTCGCACCACGGTGCCACCCCAGGCATCGGTGCAGGGCCTCGTGCGGACGGTGCGGACCGAACTGCCGCAGGACAGACCCGCCGCCCGGGAGGGTTGGGTTTTGGGGCTGGGGCTTGCCTGTAGCCGAAAAGACCTACCCTTTTGAGAGTTCCGAATTATGGTTTCCATGTATAGCTCCCTAAAAGTGTAGCTCTATTGGGCCACGTTGGAGTCCATGTCATGAATCTGAGCGTTTCGAAGCTTCTTTGTGCCGAACTGGGTATCCAACTTTGCTTCCTTGAGTTTGGCTTTGCATCAGGCTCCAATTGCCAGTCCGGGCGAATTTAAAATTCTTCAGCAGGAGCTTTAAAAAAAGGCACTTGATCGGGAATGCCGGAAATCAGTGAGGAAGCCAGGAATACACAACGGCCTCAGTCCCAGCTGCGATTTCTGGCAGTCTCAGGAACCGAGGACGTCGACTCCCCAAACCCTCCTGAACCCTACTATAGGGGCCTGACTATAGTTGCCTATGCGATTTTGGGGTTCCTTATTATTATCGTATAATATACCCCAACATTATCAAGGCCCCCATATTATTTTGGGGGTTCCTGGTAGTATAATATACCCCAATATATATATATATATATATATATATATATATATATATATATTCAGGCCCCTATGTTAAACTCACCGGGATCCTGAAGTCTCGGAATCCTCCAGGTGCCGATCCTCTGGCTCGATAGCGACGCGACCGGCACCGATGATCTCCAGGCGCAAATCCCGTGAAAACCCTAAGCCCCAAGCCCAAAATGATCCCGAACCCGAAAATTTCTGAAGTTTCGAAGGCCAACCCAAAGGCTGCTTATTCCGATGGGGGGCAGGGGTTGCGGGTCAAGTATTCAAGTTGCCGGGTCCTCTGATGTGATCTGTGCGGGGCAAGTTTTAGGCTACAGCACTTTTTCGTTGTCAGGTGTTTCACATGACCCCGAAGACCAAATCCAGCTCCACGATCGTTCCTTTGAAGCCGTGAAATCGGAACTCGAGTAGCTTTGGGACCGAAAGAGTCATGGAATCTTCGGACGGAATTGGACGACATACTCGGGGCGTATCGAGAAAGCTTGGACAGCATGGAAGCGGAGAAGGTCGCATTCAGACACGGTCCTTAGTTGGTGGGCTTGTAGTTGCAGTGCAGCATGTCGGAGGTGCGGCTTTGGACCAGTGAAGCTCCCGTTTTGGGTAGCCCTCGACTCGGTCGGTCATGAGAGGAACAGCTCATGTACGAGATCGGCTGGGCTTTTCCCGCGGGAGGCCAGAGAGAGCTGGGGGGTTTGGGTTCATGTGGGTTATGGTCATATCGGAGTCGGAACTGTTTCATTTCATACAGCCATTTCAATATATTCCCAAGCCCGAATCTCATTCTTCTGGCCCCTAAGGTATGGTAGGCTTCATAGTGTGAGAGGGGCAGCTCACGGCTTTGTCGGGATGGCCACCAGAAAAAACACCACTCGACGTAGCAATGTGTCAGGGCCCCAGCTGCTGAACGACATTGAGCGGGCCCAGCTCCTGCTCGCCCACAACCGGGACCCGGGCGTTTAGGGGTTTAGAGCCTGGGGCTCAATTTAGGTTAGGGTTTGTAGGGTTTAAGGTTTGGGGTTTGGGCGTTTGGCTTGGGAGTCGAACTTCAGCGAGACTTTCGATTTCTGCTTCGGGGGCCTTGGGTTTTGGGGTTTGGGGGGCTTGTCGAGTTGAGGAGGATGAAGGCATAGGGTTGCAGGATGGGCAATCACAGGGCGCTATATCTGGCTCCATCCTATTACAGAATCCCCTTAATCATGGTTGCACATTGCTGCTGAGATTATCGTCGCAATTGCGTTTTCAGTCTGCGAATCGCCAGGATGTGGCCTACAGACAGGGACGACGGTGGCTGCCCAGGCACTATCCGGAAAGGATTGCCGCCTGCAATTAGATGAGCCTATGCCACACTTTTCAAATGGGAACGCAGACAGATGTGCTCGGATATTTCATTCCGACCAGCCATGACGTGGCGCTGAATTAGTCTTAAACTTTTTGGACGCCCCCTGTTCCAGCAGAGAAGGCTGGACATGAGTCCGAAAATGCCTATCTACGCAGGGCGGGCCACGAACTCAGCCGGTTGGGTTTATGGAGGCTGAGGGGGCTCTTCTCCTACAGGCAAGGTTTGCATCATGAGCGAGTCCGCACAATTGACAGAGAACTAGAATGTAGTAACGCGAAGCCAAGACATAGAAGTCGAAGCCAGTTGGGGTTGAGGGTTTTTGTGGTGCTGCTTTCGGTATGCTCTTACTCAGCTCAGGGCTGCTGCCTTCGAAGCAAGTTATGCCAAGGATCCTGCTATGTGACTCTGTATCAGAAACTCTCAGTTAAGTTGTGAAGGTGCTTTCTCCACTTCCCCAGTTCGTGATCGAGACCGGCGTGGCATTGATCACAGGCCCCTGCTGCAGCTGTCCTGGTCATCCGGCAGAGCCCAATATGCTTTCGACGAAAAGTCCTTAATTAAGTCCCCAGAGCTAGCCTCAAATCGAACCCCCAGAATACCTTTGCAGCATCTCATCATCGACGATCCTGCAGAGAGCAGAAGAGGGATGCTTGATGGGGCCTTGTGGAGTAAGGCCCTTCGAAAGGGACCCAAATCCTGCGAAGCATCCTCTTCTGGATTCAGGATTTAGGGTCTAGGGCTTTAGGGTTTAAGGGTTTAGGGTTCAGGGTTTTAGGGTTTAAGGGTTCAGGGTTCAGGGTTTTAGGGTTTTAGGGTTTAAGGGTTCAGGGTTTAGGGCAGACATAGATTCAATGATGTTGAAGCTCATTTGTAATGCAGACTAAGGAGTGTCAAAACGCAGCGTCACAAATCTCGCGTCACAACAAAACAACTTTTATGCGGCAAGGGGTTCAACCCCCTCAAGAAAACCTGGGCATGTTACGCGGGTTCCTAGTCCTCAAA